TATATATAAAATACACGTAGCATGCTTTTAATTCTACCAATAAAAAAATAATTATAAATGCAAATTTAAGTTGGTATTGGAAATCAACATAGAGCTTCTTTACCTCACTTTATAAATTAATTTCTTTAAAATTAGTTAGTAATTTTGTTAGAAGTAAGTAGCAAACTAAAGATTAAACATGACAGTAGCGTTTAGAAATCATTTTGTAATTTAATAAAAACTATTTAATTATTTTGAAATTTATTGAATGTGGTGGTCATTTGACTAGCTAAGTGCTGATACATCTTTAATGACCAACAGACAAGCTGCTTCATCCAATTTAAATACAGCTAATATATTTTTGCGTAACTTTTCAGTTTAAGCAAATTCTTTGTTTAAAATCTATTTTATTCTTAATAGTTTTTATTATTTAAAGGAACTTTTTTCAGAAACAAAAATTTATTTTTTAAAAATTAAGTCTTATTTAATATGCTATTATTCACATAAATTATCTATATCTTCTAATTCAAAGATAATATTGATAAAAATAGAAAAGATTATTAGAAAAATTGAGGAATAAAAATTAAAAACTTACTAGGCTGAGATCTTCCGGAGGGTGAATGATCTTACTGGCGGCCCCAGTTGTCGCAATAAGATTCACCTTTTGATCACTATTAGCGAGGCTATTGCCGATTGCAGTAGTACCAATAGAATCACATGCACTACTATAAGCGGGGAATGTCGGCTTTACTGGACCTATTGAACCGCCACCGCTAGCCACCGATGTGATCGGCTTAAAATCAGTGCCAAGAGGTGCGGATCCGGTCACCGACGCGACTGTCGATGCTGCTGTCGAGACGGCTGCAGCAGCGGCACTCGGGAACAAAGGACGCGCTGGCGGGATTGATGCACCTGAAACTGGCGGTTGCATACCGGAAGGCATGCCCGACATGCCTGGCATCATGCTAGAAAAGAAAAGATTAAGTTATGTGAAGAAGATTTAATATATAATTTGTTAATTTTTAAAATGAACGTTTGTATATTAAGGATTATTAATTAATTATATACAAAAAAAACCAAGCTAAGGTTATTTGATATAAAAAATGCTTACAAGAACTTAATCAGTTCTTTACAAAAAAAGATATTTGGAAAGAACTCCGCACAATTATATGGAAAATTAGGAAATACATTAGTTTTTACACATGGTGTAGTTTATTATGTAGTGTGTGAACAAATTTATAAACACAAGATTCAGTCAAGGAACAATTTTTTAGCTATCAATAGTGTTACGTGAGCACAAGTTTTACATCTTTAATCTATCAAAACTCAAAAATTATCCATTATTAAGGTCACATTTTTTGCTTATTACATTATAAGCTATACATTATAACTCATTTTATCTAATTTAAATAATGCGAAATTCTTTATAAAATATAATTTTTACTGAATTTTATCAGATTTTAGACTGTATTAAGACTAGGTAATTGGAAATTTACAGTTAAAAAGAAATAAAAAAGTTGACAATAAAATTTATATAAAGACATTTGATATACAATATTACAGTTAATTGAGGAATACATACCCTGGACCCATAAATGGAGGTCCTACATGGCCCATTGGCATCATGGGATGCATAGGCATACCAGGATGTGGTGGCATACCAGGATGTGGTGCCATACCTGGGTGTGGTGCCATACCAGGTAATGGTGGCATACCTGGTTGTGGTGGCATCCCTGGTAGACCAGTTGCCATACCAGGTATTGCACCTGGCGCAGAACCTAACAAACCCTCAGGTTTTGGCTTCTTTTGCACTGGCTCATCCTCGCCGGATGATGGCGAGCCAGGTCTACCACCGTTTCGCTGTCTCTCATGTTCCTTTGCGTCGTTCGGAGGTATACCCTCCATCCCATAAATCTCTATCTCAATATTGCTACGATTTGGCAATGAATTCGGTACCTTATCTATCGCTTCTTTGTGTACCTGTACAAACGAGACTTATGTTAAAATAATATTGAACAGATAAAAACTAAGACAGTGAGAATGCAATCTTATTTACCTGCATACAATGTATGCTAAGTCCTGGTCCAGTATATAGTTTCTTGTGACAGATATGACATTTGAAGTGCTTTGCTTTCTGATGTTGAATAAGGATCTTTTCATCCTCGAATTCACGATTGCAATACCTTTTGAAGTACAGTGTTAAGGAAATTTACAGAATAAGATTTAAATAATAGTTAATTGTACAATATCTTTAAAACTTTTAGAGTAAAATTAGTTTTTAATGATTAAAAATTGAGCTGTTGTTTTACAAAACCAGTTTAATTTTCATTCTTTAGAATGATATTTCAGTCCAACGAATTTATAGAATATACATCTAGTCAAGTCTGTTAAATAAGTAATATATTGTAAATAATGAATTTAAAAATCATATCATTTTCAAGAAAATAGAAATAAAAAGGACGTAAATAATTAGAGATCAAAATTTATCCCTTAAAATTAGACATTTTCGAAATTATTTTTTATTTTTCAAATCAAAATTTTACTTGAAAACTCTTTAGTGGCTCAAAAAAAAATGTATCATTACTTAATTCCATCTAGGATTATCACAAGCGAAACTTTTCCTTCAAAATTTCATGTTTCATAATTAATGCATGTAACTAAATAGATACTTTAAAATTCAAACTATGATTGATTTTTATGTCACAAAATTGTACATAAATGTTTCTTGATTTGTCTACACAAAAAATTTTTGTTCAATTTACACTGTTCAGTAAGTAGTTATCAAATAAAATCTTTTAATTTCTACTTATCATAAAATATTCATAGATTACTCCACGTGATTCCATAAAATAAAATTTAGATTTTTTAAATTTATTCTTTAAGGATGATTTGCATTTAATTCATAGCTCTTACATCATTCAAACATTTTTACAAATCACTGAAAAGATCAGAAAAGCATATTTTCAATTACTTCACACAAAGACAGTCAGTCAAGTGGAAAAAAAAACTTAAAAAAAGACTTAAGAATCACGAATCCAAGATAATACAAAGATTATTGCTAATTTTGCAGGACAGATAACATCAATCCGATTCAACCGCTTCCGCGTGGAAGGTCTCTCGGTAGTGTTACATCATCGTGCAATGCGCGTGAATGCGAGGACAGTGGAAACAGCTGCACTCTCTTATGTATAAGTATACACAAGAGATGTCGCATGTCGCGGTGACGCGAGGAAATCGCGTATCGATTTCTCCGCCTTCCGCGGAACCCACACACCGTGTCGGTTCCTCGAGCCTCTTCCTATGATGGAGGAGAAGATTGACACCCGCTGCATAAATCACCGGCTGACAGCGATAGTTGTTCGCTACGTGATCGCAAAGCTAACGATATGCTCCAAAATTACGGTTACGTAAAAGCGATCGTTGCAAGTCGTCGTCGTCGTCGCATTCTTTGAGGAGACAAAAAGGATACCAGCACCAGGGTCTTGATTGCTTCTTCTTCTTACGACCCATTTTCCCTCCCGATTATCGGAAACTTGTTGCTATTAACGGTAACTTCTCTTTTGTAAAACGATTTTTGATTCGACGTATACGTTGCAAGTATACACGACACAAGAAGTGCAAGAATCCTCGGCGATCACAAGCGATCGTAACACTACACACGCGCACACACGCAAAAACCGATAATACAAAATGGCCGTCGCATCTTTTCCGCGGACCGACACGACGCCGGAAATGGCCAACGTGGCGCGCCTTAAGATTCCAAGGACTAGGGAACTTCTCTGATGAATAGATTTCCTAGGGATGACGCAATATTTACAAATTACAAATAGATCACGGAAAAATTAATAGCGTTTTTTCCTGGCAGAATTAGTATACACTCAGTGCACTATAAAGTCGTTGTATAGAAATCAACGTAAAAATGTTTAATAAAAATATAAAAATGAGTTAAACCGCAAAAAATCCTCAATACATTTTATTGTCCTATTTAATAGAATGTATATACACTGGGCATTTAACAATTGAGATGTCACTTTTACATTCAGATTAGAGTAGTGTAAAATGCTTTAAATGCGCACCAGTTCTATTAATGAAAAACGCTATTAAAAATGATGTTAACGTAATCAAAATTGACGCTTGAAATTCGTCAATTATTATCCGTCACGTGATCTGTTTTAACGCTAAAAAAGTACTCGAGCATCAACTATAAAAAAGTACCTTTATTCTTAATTATGAATATATACGGTGTAAATAAATTTTTATGTACAATTGCGTATATTCTTTGTGTACAAAATTTGCAAGATACAAAGGACAGCGAATAATATAATACATATTCCGTGTCATAGCATGAGGGATATTGTCACTCGCGAGTCAATAGGTTTTAACGTAACATTAGAGAAATCATAATAGAATCAAATGCAAATTATAATGACATATATGAAATAATGTATCAGTAGAACCAGTGAAAATAAAGAATGCGAGTCATACTTTGACACATCATAATTATAACGTTTGAAATCGCTTGAAATTGATTGCAATCGTTTGCTGTTTATGTGACGTGCTCCTTGTTATAGCATATATACAGGATGAATCAGAATAAACCAATTTTTCATATGACACAAATTATCGAGTGCATTTAATTTTAAAATATAAAAATATATAATTAGAGGAGTATAATTTTCACACGGTGATAATAATTAGAGATGCAATAATTTTACTCTTTGGAATAAAGCTTTAGGATAAAAAACTGGTTTATTCTGATTCATCCTGTTCATATGTAAACGTGATATATTTAATATATGTACATACAAACAATTATTTAAAAATTAATTTGCAAATTACTCTTTTTTTATTATATGACTTCCTGTACAACATTTGTTATTACTTACATATCTCTCTCTCTCTCTCTCTCTCTCTCTCTCTCCCCCTCCCCCCCCCACTCTCTCTCAGTTTCTATAATTATACATTTTAAACACAATCCATGTAGAAACAAAAAATGAATATACAATTGCTATCTTCTATAATTTCATTAATTTATATAATACATATATATACATATACTGCAAAAAAGCAGATTACTATCACGATTGTGTGTGTAGCAAGTTTATAAATCTCTCCTACAACAAAATTCTCTTAAAACAGGAATAGAAATAATATTTTATAATATAAAAAATAACCTCTATTAGCTGACAAACCTTTGCTTCAATGGGATGTCGCTCTCTGAATCGCTTGACTCGATACATGCAGGGTCGTCTAATGACACAGACCTCTCTCTCTTTATCTCTGTCTTAATCTCTGTCTCAATCTCTGTCTTAATCTCTGTCTCAATCTCTGTCTTAATCTCTGTTTTCACCACTTCATTCTAAATTTATATTATGTTAAATTACGTTGAAATTATAAGCAAAATAAATAAAAGTAACCTAGATTGCGATTAACTTAATTGATGGTTAATTCGATCAGCAGGATCACTTAAAACAACATTTAATATACAATTCATTATTCCTCTAATCTTTTTTCAATACCTTATATATAATTTTATTAATTAATTTAATAGTTTTTTATTTGTATTACTTAATAAAATACTGTTAATTAAATTAATCGGAATTTGGTAAAAGTCGTCATAAGGATGTAAAATATGTGTTTTACCTGTATTTCATGGTTAATCTGCTTTTTAATTTTATTAGAATTACATCTCGATACATATTTATCAGCCATAGATTGCACTCTCCTAATGTCAAAGTCTTGATCAATCCTGGTTACCATCTGCATTTTCTGCTCTTCAGATGTCACATATAAATTCGGGTGATCATAAGTATTGTGCTTGTCGTAGGCCTTCTTATTGTAAAACGATGCTGCACATACTGTACATTGAATTAACTCCGACGGCATAGCTCTTTTTTGTCTCTACAAAATAATTGTGTTATTTAAGTTTTTAAGCATGTACAAAATTATATCAGGATTATCGATTACATCCTTTAATTGTACTTTAAAGTTATTCAGAGTTTCACATGTTTAAAACAATAAATGGTAACTTTTAAGTTTTAAAATATGTTATATTATGTTTATCTTTTTTACTTCTGTATGTATCCTTTCCAAGTGCTGTTGCAATTTGAACTTAACAATAAATTTTACGCCACATAAATGACAATAGTGTACGTTCATTGCTTCATTAAATTTCTTGTTACTAGGTGGAGGAGTGGCTATCATTCTGAAAAATAATATAAACAATCAGATAATAATTCCATTATAAATATATATTATTGAAATAATGTATATTCATAATTTCATTGTGAATATACATTATTGAATCAGATAATAATTCCAATATAAATATACATTATTAAAAGTATTATACCGTTTATGAATGGATTTACAATGATAATCCAATGCCTTCTGATTGTAAAATAATATGTCACACTCTTTGCATTTTCTGTGTTGATCTTTATATTCGCTTTCAGTTACATTGTGTAAAGTTTGATGAGTATCTCTATGATTCTGAATAAAGGTGTTTTCATGAAATGATTATAGAAACAACAGAGGAAAAAACATCATAAATCATTTACTTTTAGAGGAAATTGCTGTCCACAATAGGGACAATGAAATTTGGTTGGTGAATTGGGATGCATTTTGAACCTGTGTCTTATTGCTGCCCCTATCGAATGAAACGACTGATTGCATACATCACATAAAGTGTCTTCATCACTTTTCCTTTGTATTGGTCGTCCACGACCATCTATCTTCTTATTTGCATGTTGCCTATGCCAAACATGAAACAAAAAAAAAAAACAAAATACTTAGATAAATACGAATAATGAATAATAAATTTTATATTTATTTCATAAATATAATTTTTTTCATATAGGAAATAGTTCTAAATAATAAAGAGTTAATAAAACAAAAAAAGAAAAGTATAGAGCTGGAAAGTCTAAATTTACTCCTGTAATACATTGATACTAGGTCAGTTTTACTTAAACCATATTTTCTTTTTCTTTCTTTTATACATTTGATCTTCATTTCTCATTAATTTCCATCTCCAAAAGTAATACTTTCTATTTTTTAAAGTGACTTTGATCAAACTTCAATTAACTTAATTAGCAATATTTTATTATTTAAGTAATACAACTAAAATTATATTAAATTAATTAACAGAAATATTTAATATATTGGAAAAGATTAAGAATGTGTGAATGATTCTGCCAATCAATTTAATCATTGATCAAATTAATCAGAGTTCGGTTAAATTGTTCTCATATTTTAAGTAGAATAATTTCAACTTTTGTTTTGTACATATTTGATAAATCATAAGAACATATTCCTTGTTCAGATTCCCATTCAAATAATCTCATGCAAATATCTAACGTTTTGGTTTGAACTGTATGTACCGTCCCCTTGGATCTCTCCTTATGTCGCGTGACATGCATTTTAGAAAATATTATTATTGATGATGATAACATCGTCGAATCACGATTAATTGTCTTAAACCAACTGTAATACCTAAAATGTTGTTGCAGCGCATCTTTGGTGTCCAGTTTTGCGTTGCATAGAACGCAGTTGTACTTGTTCTTGGAGCTCATTTAGGCGCTCGGAATCTATGTGAATGGAGCAAGATTTGTACCCAGAATAAAAACAAGATTGCTCTGATTGTTGCAAACAGAATTCAGTACGAGCGAACATTTGCCGACGTTTACTGCATTCTCCTCCACTCGTTGACGACGTTGACGTCCACCATAAGCTTCTAACCTCGCGAGCGAAAGAAAGAGAGAATTGCGACCGGGAGACACGAGGTCTGTTTTTTATTTCTCCACTAGACAAAACTTTTTTCTAACTTCAGTCAAATATTAAGCCTACTAATTCATTTTAAATTTTAAAAGTGTTACACTAACTTAGCATGCTCAATTAGAAGAAAAACAGATCTACAAAAAAATCAATTTTCGGCCATTGTAATTGTATTGAAAAGATGCGCCATCTAACCAGGACGTGACGTAATTAAACGTATTTCGGAAAAGTTGACAGAAATTTGAATGACGCCACGTTTATTTGTGAAAGAAGAAAGGAACTTGATGTGAGATTTTAGGAAATAAAAAGAATTACTTTTGTCTATGATTGTATAAATTGTTTATAATTGTATAATTTGGATTTTAAGTATTATAACTTAGTATTAATTTTGAAAATAGAATTCAGAATAATAATCACTTTTAGTTAAAGATCAAGTCATGTTTCCAATTTACATATTTTCGGTAAATACAAAAAATGTTCCATAAAGATTGTATGCTATTACATAATATAGGATCAGAAAGAACGATTCTACGATTACAGACTGTCGCGCTGAGGCATGCATGAAGGTTTGCGCGCGCGCGTATATCTATATATATTTATCTATAAAAATGGTATATATGTATGTATATAAAATTAAGATCTATAAATTAAATTTAATACTGTCGTTCGACAAATTCTCTCATTTTGTTAGTCGTAATAAAATACTTATTCTTCGGTATACAGAATATAGAATATATATAAAAATCTAAAACTCTAGGATATATCTATCAGTTCCTTGCTTAGCACGGAATAAAGATCAAATAAAGGTTTTAAAATATACATTTCCAATTTCTTCGTGCTAGTTTTTATCTTTAAGACGTAAAGTTTATGTTAACTCTTTGCCGATGAGATTTTAATAAGCTGATATTAATAAACAAAATAAAATTTACAAAATAAAATTAAAAAATTGAAATAACCAAATAAAATTGTTAAAAACTACTTTTTATATTTTAAACCATGTATTCATAAATTTTTGAGATAGTTAGCAAAGTGTTAACAAAGACCTTAAATTTACCGTAAATATTCGTACGCTATGCAAAAATGAGTTGACCTTCAAAATCATTAAAAGATTACAAAGCTTTATGAATGATTGCGTTGGGTAGAAAAAACATATTTGTTATAAAATTTTTTAATATGATTGGTTTTGCTCTTAGTTTCTCATAATCTCTAAACGTATAAATCAATCCTATTAAAGAATGTTACAACAGTTGCAAAGTTGCTTTTTCTGTTGAATGCAGCCAAATTTCAAGCAATCAAATCTCAATCTCTTCTCTCAGAATTATAAGAGTCAACTTATTTTTGTATAAGCGCTTCATTTATATGTAAATAATTTCAATAAATGCAATTGTTGATATATCGGCGATCATTGCCCATCAGTCACACCTTGCGCTGCCAATTCTGCGAGCGTTCTTTCGAGGTAACTATGGTCGGGGTAGCCATGACCGGACGTAGACGGTCCGAGCTCGGTTTTGTGATGAATCTCGTTCCACGTAACGACATCCTCACGACCGGTAGTGACCGATCGGCCGATCGTGAAAATTAGTCTGCGCTCAAACGCGACTTGCAGCAATCTCAATACACGGCGACCAAGACTGTTGTCTGGCAGATAGCACACACGGGGGAAGCCCACGGCATAATATGCCTGACCTGGATTAGGATGTTCGTTACTCTGAATTCCGGATGGGATACTGAAAAAATTGAAATTAATATTTTTTCCTGAGTATATTTATGTACATTAATTCAGAGAAAGAGATATTAACTTGTTTATTATTCAGTATTTATTTAGATTCATATCATTTTTTTTACTCCAAACAAAATTAATCTAAAATTATTAAAAATCTTTTAAAATTGTTGATAGATACCTTTGTTGAATATCGTTATGATGCAAGATTTATATGGAATAATTTATTATAGAAATTAGAAAGTAAGAAAGAACTTCTCTCACTACTTTGTAATCACTTTGTAACCAAATTCACTTTGTTTACAAATTTTCAGCGTAATATAGGTTTTGTTTCTATTTTTTCTACTCACTCATAAGTGATTTGTACAGTATTGGTGTTCGGGAAGCCCGGTAATGCTCGCGGTATCCGCGTCCAGTTCATCATTCCCGGTGGCTGATTACCCCTTTTCTCGCCATAAATCATACGACAAACTGGACATTGTATATACATGGGTGGCTGCTGGGAGCTAAGCATTGCGTTCAAACACGCCAAGTGCAGTCTGTGCCTGCAACGCGTTAATTCGACCGTCAATGGTTCTGGAGCACCCAAGCATACCGGACACGAATCCGAGCCGTCGCTTTCCACAACTTTCACATACTGGGATATCACGTCCGACGTAACATCCACCCCTAAATTAATATTAAACATATTAGTATCATTTTAGATGTTCGACTTTGATATCCGAAAAAAATTCCGAAAGTTAAATATAAATAAAGAATAATCTAAGGAGCGATATAGCCATAATGTCAGTAGCAAACATTAAATTTTTTAAAAACTTTTATATCAATAAACATTGCAACACATGAATAATGAACAACTATTTTCAATCAATAGAAGCATAACAACCTATTGTGACTAATATATTCTTCAAAATAATTTCTTTAATATTCATGTTAATTTTAATATCGCGGCGAAGATTTGTATTTTAGAACATAAAGATGTATTTCCTTAATTACTTGTCTCATATTCATATTGCATCTGAACTAATTTATGTACAATTATACTGAAGATCAGAATATGATCAAAACGTTTATTTTATTATTTTATACTATTGACATAAAAGTTTTTTAAATATATAACATTCGCTACTGACATCCAGCGTTGTAACTGTATTGCTCCTTAGATTATTCTTTGTTTATATTTTCACAGCCATGTTCTTTGTTTTCCTTTTGTTTAAATATAAATATATAAATGTATTCAAATATCATTTATATTTTATATTCTAATTGAACGAATATATATGAATAAGTTATTTTCACTTATTGAAATTAAATTAAAAAATATAAAATAAATGATTAAATATCTAAAAGTAGTAAATGTATTTTTGTAAACACACCGAGAATGGAATCCTTGAATGCGTCATCGCTTCCCATGCTGCTGTCCAGCAAGTCTATCGGATTCTCGTGACTCAAATATGTGGACACGGTGTCCACGCTCGGTCTGCGACCACTCTTAGTACTGCTAGAATCAACGTCTAGCACTGTTTCCCAGGTCTTCCTCTTCTGACCAGACTCCACATTTGTCGTTGCGGGATTGTTTTCGATGCCATGTTTACTGCCAAATATATTGAAGTTACTGAGAATAACGCGCGCAATATTCGTCGGTCCGTTCGTCTCTCCGCTTTTACTCTGAAAAAGACAATTTGTAAGTGAAGTCTCTAATAAAGAAAACACCGCGCTGAAGAAAGAAGCTCACTTTCTTGTTATTTTTCTTTGTACTTCCGTTAGACGATTTCTTGTGTGTAACTTTGACGGTGGAACTTTTAACCGTAACTGATGCAGATCTCCTCCCGGAAGTGACTTGCAGTTCTTCCAACGCGACTTTGACCAGTGGATAAGGCGCCTGTTGTATACGTCTTATCGGTCTCACATAGCCAGTACAACATCTCACTTGCGTCAAATTACAGAAGTTGATAATGTAAGGGAAACCCAAGTAAGTTTTGGAAATGTCGATGGTTTTGTCACCCTGGAAAAAATATTTATTTTATTAGAAGACTCAAATAAAAAACTATTTAATTCATATTCGTTTGCTTACTCTCGCCCATGCTTCTTCTATAAGACATTGCACTTCCATGTCATAAGTATGCCAATCATCTGAGTCACCTGCCCATTCCCATTTGGCACCTTTGCCGGCTGGTGAACCTGGCAGATAAAACTTTCTCCTCACATTGTGCGTCTCGTCGCCGTCCTCGCAGCATTGCGTTTTTGTTTTCAAATTGATATAATACCTAATTTTTAAACAAATCAATATATGTTATTATAACTTCAGATTTTTTAATATTTTAATATTTATCGTGTTAATTTTTTTCATGTAAAATTCTAACAATTTGAATTGTTGACAAAAGTTGATAAAAATATAATTAAACCAAAATTTTTAGTTTTCACTCAATATAAAAAATATATAAATATTTATACACATATATTTATAAAAATATATACAAAATAAAAACTTAAAAGACAAAAATAATTCTAAAATAATGAATAAATATAATTTTTTGATAAAAAAAAAATAATCCATTATAACTAATGGTTAAAACTATGTGTTTGCCATATACATCTGCTCATTCCATTCTCAACTACTCTTTCTTTCTTTTTCTCAGCAAGACCCAAACATACACCTGCCTCACTTTTTATCGCAAGGTAAGTGCAATTTAAGGTGGACGAACTACAAGTGAGATCGCATTTCGAACGCGTGTCGCTCGGACCTGTCGAGGGTGGGATCGGCGTCGTTGAGGAAGACCCGTGTGAGCTTCTTATAATGGGCCCGTTCGAGATGCTGCGACACGGCCGGACTATAAGGTCGCCAACGTCCGTGACGGTTCTCCCACTCCCACACGACCACCGCGTGTCCGTGCTCCTGCCCCTGGGCGCTCATCCTCTTACCCGTCGCTCTCCGCGACCCCCGCGCTCTGCTCCGTATCCTCCCAAAGGAATTTCACACGCACACGCGACATACACTTGCAGCGCAGCGGCAGCGTGGGAACATTTTCAAGTTTTCCCACGGTCACCGCGACGGTTGCGTGATCGTCGCGAATCGAATTAATGAACACAGCGAATCGATCTACTTGTCTCTCTTTCTCGTCACTCAGTGAGAAACACTTTGATGTCTTCTCCCCCGGTCCACAATTGCGAAACGAAAACAAGTTGTCGTGAAAATCCGGGATTACTTGCGAGAAAGACAGAAGAAAACAAACACACGCGCACCAACGCGCACTCTGGTGCAAACTGAGGGTCGGCGCACGCGAAAGATGCCGTTGTGAACGGTATGAAGCGCGGCAGATGAGCTGATTCGATAGATCGACACACAGTTATCGAAACGACTTCGATAGAGCTCGCAAGCTTCGAGCGTCGAGTTCCCAAGAAAGGCATAAGCGGGGAGCACAGACTTTTGCTTAACGC